CTGTGAGGAGATTGTCCAGCATTCACAGCCATATAAGAGGACTGATATTACTAACGAAATTTTCCTATTTCTTAATCTTTTGCTTATCTTTTGGAAGGCATCTTTCATTGTCGGATTTTAGTTAAAACACTTCCCAGATATTTAAACTGTTGTAGTTTTTGATTGTGGTACATTAGTCAATTATGCACCATGCGTGATACACGCTTAGTCGATCATGTATCTGACGAGGCTGATTTTTTCCCGCAGTAGACCAGTTGCCATCCAAGAATCCGGTCTGCCTTTCTATTTACCCATAGCTGGGGGGAGAAGAAAGGGAGTCATACCTTTCCCAAGAGTATTAGCAAGTAACTGAATGTAATGGATTCGACTGGAATTCGAACTCGGCTCTCTAATTCCTCAATCCGAGCCGCTATCCGTAACTCCCTTGTGCCTCTTTCTTTTGGTACATAGAATATTTAATTCGCATGTGGAATTGTTCTGTTTGGTAACAACCACACATTCTGTTTTCTTGCAATTCGCTTTCCTTTACTACCTTCAGTAATATTTCTTGGACTTGCCTTTCTATGTCTGCTACCAACGCGTTATGTCCTGCATATCTTAGGTTGTTAGTAGTGTGGCCGCCAATAATGAATTCTAGTAAGACTTCTAATTCTCTTGGAATCGCCTCACTGTATAGATTAAATAAGTCCGGTGATACGATACATCATTGTCTTAAACCCCTTTCTATTTTTGTATATTTACTGAATTCATTTTCTCTACGTATCCAGGCAGTTTGCTGTCAGTATAGGTTTTGAATTATTCTTATACACTTTCCAAGTATTTCAAGGTTAACTAATGTTTCCAACGTCCTTTATGGCATACTTTATCAAAAGTTTTTGCATAATCTATAAAACACAGGTATTCATCCTTTTAAATTTGTATTATTAAATGTCCCTTGATACAAATGCCTTTACAAAACAAAACTGAAATTCAAAATAGTAAGAGAACCCACCCCAACAATCTAATATGGCAAAAGAAACAGTTAACTAGCCAATCTCTTTTCATATGACCATTATATAGAAAACGATGTGTCATTAGCCTACATTCATAAATAGAATCAGAATCTTTTGTAAGTGACAAACAAAAGGCTTACTTACGTGTTTATTTTGCATGATTACTATGAAATGTGTCCAAATTACCTGAAGAACTTAAGAACTGGATGCGTTGCCTTGGTGTAACATATTATCGACAAATTAGAGAAACCTTTACTGCGCATGTGTAGAGAGACAATCTTCTGCCATTAAATGAACTCAACACACAAAAACCACAGAAATAGTATATATTGTCCTAAACAACAAAATTAACATACAGTGAGCGATAGATAAATTATCGTCATTTCATATTTTTAATTTCGCGCATGCGCGTTGTTTGTTTTTTTATCTTGTCGACCGCACAGTATAGTAGATTCAGTTGGGCACCGTCTATGAGGAAAAGAGCACCATGACGGAATTCAATTCGCAAGAAATTTGGAAACGGTATGCTGTACTGCTTTGCATTCGCGCCGGCAGCACTAATACAAACATTTCAATGTTAGGGTGTCAATCTGAGGATTCAGAAAGAGTTGAATGAGTCTAATCGTGATTACGAAGTTACGGAAGCTCAGAAAACTCACTCTGATCGTTCTGATAATAAACGAACTTCCTAATTTGTGAATGAGGGCCTCAGACTCAACCCAGAGGCTTACATCAAGTGCCCTGAGGAGATAGTGCTGCCTTGGGTCAAGATGGTGGCTGTTAGAAGACCCTATGTGTGGCAACAGGACTCTGCACCATACCACACAAGTATGCGAATAAAGTCATGGCTGTCAGACAATTTCTGCAACCACATCACCCCTTAAATCTGACCACCTAACTCTCCAGACTGCAACTCCCTTGATTGGTGTGAGACGCAGTTGAGTGAGAGAGCAACAAAACTCCTTGTGACACGAAAGAAGGCAAGCATTATGGCAACATTCACCAATATTAAACAATAAAACCGTCAAGAGGAATTACAGAAGATTCCGAAGTCGTCTGGAGGCCGTGATTGAAGCCAATGGCGATTTTATTGAATAAATTTACTTTTTAATATTTCAGGATATTTGGGGGTAATTTTGGTAAATATATCTGTCAAAATGAGATGTCAGTGTTATATTCATTTTTGTGTAATTTAGACGACAATTTATCAATCGCACTCCGTATCAATATTTATAATTCTCAAAATGTGTGCGTGTATGTATGTGTGTGTGTGTGTGTGTGCGTGCGTGATTGGATGTTGTTTATGCATTTCCACAGTTTTCATCCGATTTTGATGAAAAAAATTTTGTTTTATAGATAATTCTTCAGTGCCGGCTTTGAGTCCAAATTGTTGGTGGCAATGGCTCTCCACTACTTCCTGTCCATTATAACTGTCAGCAATGTTTTACTATTTACTATATGTTCTTAGATATATATCTTGCATAAAAACTTTAATGAAAATAAATAGTTTAAATTATTACAATAATATTATTTATTATTATACAATTCACTTTTCAGCCCCCCCCCCGTATTCAAATTGTTAACCCCCCTCATTTAGGGATGTGCCTGAGTTGCAGCCAAATATTGTTACTAATATTGATTTTCGCGTGGGCTGACTTAAACTTAAACTGCTCCAATCGAACAGCAAAAATTCACATTAATGAAAGACCCGGTCAAAGACGGGTTATACTGCTAGTCTTCTTTGATACCATCCACATTCCATTGTTTTACTTATACCAAATTTCTGATATCATTCTCTCACCTTTTTTCTCATGAATTCTTCATCCGCGCACACACCTAAGCAAGCGCCAGTCTTTTTCCTTCGTCCAATTTTAATTCTCATTTAAGCGCTTGCATTTCATTAACCGATAACATTATGATGTATGACCAGTAAAATTTCTCTAAACTATTATCTCGGGAAATCGTCTTTGCTTTAAAATTATCATAATTATAAAAATGGTTGTCCTTACCTTCTCTGATCCAAAACCCATTTTATTTCCTAGTAAATTTAAGTTCTTGTGTCAAACACACAAATATCCTAGTTAGTAGGAATAGCAAGTCATAATAGTCACAAAATAGCAATACAAGACTCAACCACTGCGTAAAATATTGAAGGAAAAACATTACAAATTCCTAAAAAAAAAAAAAAAAGGATTACCATCGAAAAATGGAAAAAAATGTACAGTTTGAGAAAAGAAAGGGATTCAAAGATTAAAAGAGAAAACAATTCAACAAGGCAGAAAAACAAAGGTACAACCACCTTTCAGAAAAAAAAACGAAAACAACTACATTTACTTGCCCCTACCAGCGTCTCTGGTAGATATAGTAATTTTAGAAAAAGTCCCTATATAGCAATCATACTGTTCGGGAAAATTTCTTAGAATTTTTTTTCGTTTTTGTTATCCAACCTCAGGAGAATTTTCACTTGAACTTGTCTTTCTGCAGCAGACTGGTAAACTTGTGCCTTCTTGATGCTCTCTCATCTTAATGTGAAATGCCTTCTGCTCCTTGATTTTGATTTGTCTTGTTCCATACTGTCAAAATGTCTTCTCCCTCGTCTACTGACCTGAGCTCTATTTATTTCGTAAAACAGGCTCACATGCCTGCATTCAAGTTGTTACTCGAGCTTGTGACCACGTCTCTCATTGGTCAGTATATACGAAAATATAATTTTCCATACACTGAAAAAGGATTCTTCATAAATTTGGCGGCTTTTAACCACTGAACCGAAAAAGACATACAAGTATAACAATTTCTTACACAACACGCCATCATAAAAATACACCTCTCTCAAAAGAACGTGTACTAAAAATACAATCTAGATGATTAAACGTTTATTCAAGGCTAACATTTTAAAAGTAGTAAAAATAAAAGTTTTATTTAGAGTTTATTTGCGTGATCAGGACATTTTGCTTTTTACCGTCGAAAATAGCATTTATCGATTTTATTCATGCATTTGGTATATAGGACACAAGCAGATGTTGATATCAAATTTTTAAGTAAAAAGTGCGTCTTTTACACTGAGAAATACGTTATTTACTATGCTTATCTTAGTACAGCACCATTCTACAAGTTTAGGATAACCACGAAGGCTCGAACAGACTACATATTAGTATTGGTTATCAGCCAGACATATCTTACAGACTATTTTGTGTTAGGAAAAATAATGTGTTTTAGCCTTCCAGTAGCACACTGATACTAATGTTAGCATTAGTGTAGCCATTGATAAACTAACAATGAATGCGAATATAGACAGACGAAATACGCGGGCGTAACAAGCAAAACATTTAATAAGGCAAACAACTTATATATATTAAAAAGATTTGCATATGTCCCAAAACAAATGATTGTTCATATTGTCCCAAAGGAACGATGAGGTTTACAGAACGAGAACGAAGAAATAACATACCAACTTTATGGCCTTTGGTCGTCCGTAGATAAGTCAATAGAAATTACTTTTTTTTTTCCTTAGGTCGAGCCCATGTTGACCAGTTTCCAGGTGTGTGGACGCCCTGGTGGTCAGGAAGGTAAAGAGGCAGTTCCTCAAAAGAAAAAAACGTGGGCACAGAAGAGTTCTCCTCTCTAAAGGGGCTGAACTCCCATGATCTCACCCAAGGGAAAACAACTGTGGTCTCCCTACATACATAACAGACTAAACATTGCTTCAGGGCGAGGAGATCCAGCCAGGCTATAATTTGAATAAAATAGCAATCATAATATTAAGAAAGAAACGTGTGTATAATAGATATTTAAAATTGATAAAACTTAACTTTGTAGATGGAGATTGTATGGTTACCACAACTGAGAGAGAATCTTCAATATTCGAACCCTTGCTTCTTATCTGGGTTTGACAGGTACCACCACCGCAGTATTTACTCCACATAATCAACATCACTTTTCCTTGGTACATGTAACGGCTCTTAACTTCAAACGAGAGAAATCTTTATTCACATTAGGCCAATATTCCAGATGCCTGGTTTCGACTCATCAACATTTCCCACCGACGATGGTCCCCCAGAAGAAAGAAAGTAAAAATAGGAGAAACACGATGAGGTTAGATTTAAGTCTTTTGAAATCAAACAAAAAAGCGATAGGACGGAAATTGTCGACCTACATTAGCCAACTTCGAAGCTTACTTGTGTTGCTTTTCTTTGGAAACCACCAGAAAGCCACGAGTTGATGTTTCCTTTGCGAATTTCAACTGAGCCACGCTCTAATTATATTTAAAACAACCTAGTCATATAATAATAATAATAATTTTATTATTATTATCATTATCATTATTATTATATTTATTATCATTATCATTATTATTATTATTATTATTATTTATACCTTCGTTCGTTTATTTTTTATCTTTTCTTTCTTACTTTTTCATATTTATTTTTCGTGTTTCATTCTCTGTAACCTTTTTCACTTTTAGTTCTTTCTATTTATAATATCTTTCTTTTTCATATTTATTTTTCATCGTTCTTTTTTCTATTTCTTTCTTTCTTGTTTATATTTCTTTTTTGTCTTTCTTTCTTTCTTTCCATCGTATTTATAATTTCCTTTTCTTTGTATTTCTTTTTCTTTTTTCATTGTTCGCATTTTCCTTATTTATGCTTATAATTTCCCCCGTTTTTTGCTTTCTTTTCTTTTCCGAATTTTTTGTTCGTCTTATTCCTTAGCATTCTTCAGTTCTTTTTCTTTCTTTCTTGCATTTGTCATTTCTTCCCCCCTTTTTTTTTTCGTTCCTCATTTTCCTTTCTCTTATTCAGCTCTTTTTTTCCTTTGATTTTTATTTATTCTTACTTTCATTTTTTATTTATTTTTTTTACTTTGTTTTTTTATTCTTTATTTACATTTTTATTTCTATTTTTATTTTTTGTTTGCTTCTTTGTTTTCGTCTGTCTTCGCATTCAGCTTTTAATTCTCTTCGTCTTTACTCTCTTTCTTTTTCTTTCTTTTCTTATTTCGGTCTCTACTCTCTTTCCTCCTTACTTCTTTCTCATATATTATATAAAGGTTAAGAATATCGTATTGAATTTAATTCAATTAATTTTGTGTTGTATGGCTCAAAATTTCGCTTGACATAGGTCATTTTTTTTTATAAAGAGTGCCATGTTAAACCTGCCTGTTACTTGTAACATTCATTTCAACAAGATTCTAATGACTTTCCGAACAAAAACAAGGGGGAAAACTATACAGAACTGATCATCTAAAAATAAATGATCAAACATGTGCAAGTTTTGGCGAAACTCAATCGATCGTAACTTTTCAAATGCTCAGAATTCGGATAGAGATGTACCAGTTATGAAACCCCAAGATTCTCTACGTTTTGATTAAATATAGCGAATATCACTTGGAAGATTTCGTTCCATAAACTGCAAATGTCCACTCTTAAACCCATTGCAATTTCTCCTTATTAACATAAATAATAAACAATGTTAAATTTGTATTTTATATTTATCTATGATTTAAATTTGTCTTTTTTTATAAATAGTATGCACACACAAGCAATAAAGACACTTCTAAGATTTCTTTTGCATTAAGCAAAAATGTTGCCGGAAATGTGTTGTAATCAATTTTTTCCCAATATATTTCTTTTTCTTTTCTTTCTTTATGACATTTCTAAATGTTCTTTCTTGTTTTTCTCCAATTCTCTTCTCTTTCTCTTCTCTCTTTTCAGCTTAATTAATCTTTTCCTTCTATTTCTTTTCCCATTTTTCTACGCTTTCTTTCATCCCCTTCTCTCTTTTTGCTTATCAAAGCTAATTCTGATTTTCCAAGAGAGCCACCAATCCTTTTCCAATTTGGCCAATCACAGAAATCTACACTGCATACTAACACATCCAAATCTGTTAATATTTAGTTTTATTGGAAATTAGAAAAAAAAACGTTGGTCATAATTGACTTAATAAGAGCACAAGCCTTAAAAGTATTTTAAAAATAAATTACTGAATTTTTATGGACAAAAATGTTAATAAATTCACTCCTAGAAAAAATCAACGAAAGTGTAAGTTAGCTTTCGACTTCAAGAGCTAGCAAGGTTATCTGACATTGTACAGGTTAAAATAGCTTCCAACGCAATATATTTACTGAGCTGGTTTTTACTTGTTTATCTACGTTGTCACTTCTGGTTTGGGCCATCATTGTTCTCCACATCTTCCTATCCTGTATCGCTCTTAGCAACGTTTGTTTTCTTACTGTCACTTCCAGTCCCTGTTCTGCTAACCATTTATACAATTTTTTAGGTAAGTTATTCGAGGATTTCCTCTATTCATTTTGCCGTCAATACGCCCAGCGAGTGTCAAATTCTTCAAGCGCTCTTTTCTCATTATGTGCCTCGGAAATTTCAACTGTTTCTTTCTGATCTTAAGTATAAGTGTCCTTTTTGTTTCCAGCATCCTTAAAACTTTCACATTACTCATATGTTCAGTCCATAGCATTCCCAGCAACCTTCTGTAGAACCATATTTCTGCTGCCCGAAGTCTCTTCTTCTAAACAGATTTTCCAGCAATTAATATGGCAGCGAATGCTGGAAAATCTCTTTAAAGATCAATATTGCATAAGAGTCCCTTGTTTCTAACGAAATTTTCCTATTTTTAACACTTTGCTTAGCTTTTGAATGTCATTTTCATTATTCTACTGATGATCGGTTAATAACTAGGTAGACATCGGCTCGATTTACACTTGACTAAATGGTAGACTTATGTCAGGTTTACACTAGAGCAAAAAAAGGGTAAGTATCCGTCAGGTTTACACTAGAGTTAAAATGTTATGCACTGATCCCGTTTATACTAGTCAAAAAGGTAGACGTTGGCCCACTTTGCACAAAAATCCGGTCCGGTTTACACGAGAGTTTAGGCATTAATAAGTTTACACTTGAATCATAACGATAGACATAAATCGGCGTATAGCCGAATTTGCAAGTATCCACTTTCTGCAGGAGATGCACTTGGCAGATTATAGGATCCGTCGTCTGGGCACGAAAAAGAGATGCAGAAAGACAGCTTTTCGCCAAATTAGCAAGTAGAGAAGGTCAGTTTACGTTGACAGTCAGCATTTAAGGTATTACCTTCAAACGGATTTTGAATACGAAGTAAGAAACATGTTACTGACACCATTCATAAGAAAGGTGTTACTCTTGGCCTAGAAGAAAATCGTAAAATGTAAAGTATCTACTGACGATCAAAATCACTACAGTGCAAATAGTCTACAAGACAAATTTGTTATCAACTGCTCCAAGGCATGAAATAGTTATCATGCAGTGTTGATTCCTATATCTACACTGTTTAGGATTATAAAGGTTCAGTCTCCAATATTGAGCACTCTTCCCTAATATATAATCAAATTTTAAACCATATAATATATATATATATATATATATATATATATATATATGTTTGTGTGTGTGTTTAGTTTTAAGGTATGGTATATTTATTGATTAAAGTGATCAATATCAGGGATAGAGCGTATGCAAATATAAAAGTGTATATAAAAATCAAAACCCAGAGACGACACTCTGTTTCATGATAAATGCAATCGTCAGGAGATGTACGTTGTGTTTTTGCTTGAGTATTTATATGTACAGGCCAGTGATGCATTGTGGTTAGTCTATCGTATTGCATTGTGGGTAGTCTATTATATTATTCTAACGGCTATTTTGGTGAGCGGCAACGGTTATGTTTCGAATTATTCTAGAGCTTATTGAGTAGGACTTGCATTTATCATGAAACAGAGTTTCGCCTCTGAGTATTGATTTTAATGTCACCTTTATATATATATATATATATATATATATATATATATATATATATATATATATATATATATATATAAAATTGAGTAAAACGATTTTTCGTGTGAGACATTTCGTTGGAGTAAAATGATGTTTACGCTAATGCTCACATTTTCATTTTTTTATATGTGTTTGGGTATATAATCTAACAAACTTAATTTAGTTATTTTTACTTTTGTTTATGTTTTTCTACTTTTATTATTAAGTCTCCCACATTGTGATAAACGATCTGCCAAGAAAGGTGAAACGTTGTAGTAGTAAATTACTTTCTCTTTTAATTAAAGATTTTTTTTAAATAGAAATTATGGTCAAACTCATTACGGTCATCAGCTAATGCACCGAGTGTGTTGTTTTGCAAATATTCCTTTTGTGTTCATATAATAATTTATTTAAATTACTTGACGTTTCTCCTATTTATGAATTGTGGCAATTATCACAGATGATAGGGTAAATATGTCCTTCAAATTTTAGTTTATTATTATTTTGTTTTGTATTAATCAAGTTTTTTATTGTTTTAGGAGTAGTCGTAACAAATCTTGTTAAAATTAGATAAATTCTTTTCAATTGTAGTTATGAGAGAGTTGGTGGGTAGAACAATATATTTTGATTAATTAGATTTGTCACAATGGTCCACTCTTCTTTTTCGAAATATTTGACGAGCCTTTTGTTTCGCGTTGAATATGAAATAATTAGGGTAGTGGAGGAACTTAAAAGTATTTTCAATGTATTTCTCGTCTTCATCTAAACATTGAAGGATACAAATTCCGAGTGCTCTTAAACAGAACGTGATATTTATTTCGGGTTTTATTAGTTTGCCTTTTTATTAGTTGATTAATACAAAACAATATAATGAGCATAGGTACCTCCAAAAATTCGTATATCTATGGTTTAGATGTATTTTTGATAAAGGAAAAATCTTTTTCGAAGCTTTCCAACCGCTTCAATTGAAAGTTAAAGGATTAAATTTTCTAATTCCTGAAAAAAAAAATACTATGGAGTATTTCAAATAGAACTTTAAATGATTTTTAGTCGATGCTTTCGAGAAATCAATCGAAGCAGCCATTTTTAACTTTTTTTTTTTTTAGAGAAATAGAAACGAACTTATTTTTCGGCTTTGAAAATCCCGCTAAAATAAGATATACATTTCTGAAACGTTACTTTCGTAAAATTAGCAAAGTCAAAGTTAAATTAATCTGTTCTGAAACAAATATCACTTACTTATAGCATAAAATTTTCTTGACAAACATTTCTTGACCTCGGAATCTTGTTATTTTCACGTCTCTATCTATAATTTGATGGCCGAATATGTTGACAGTTGCATTTGATGGTGTGTGTGTGTGTGTGTGTGTGTGTGTGTGTGTACGCGATAATATTCTACGCTCTTTCAGCCGCTATCTCGATTCGTACTGTTTTAGTGATTTTGATCCTTATCGTATACACTCTACACCTTTGCGACTTTGTGATTGGCTAAGCTCATTCTATTTGTATCTGATAGGTAACAGAATTAATAACATATTTCCCAACGTTCTGTATTGAAAATTAGGAAAAAGATAGATCCTCGAATGTTGATTTGTGTGTTCTTGGTTGCGTCAAGAACTATCGTATATATGCGCTGTGGTGGGTAGCCCTTCAGGGGGATATATTCTGGTTGTACAAGTTCTACTCTTTACGACTGTTTAAGATCAGTCAAGAGTAAAATCAAAAAAAAAAGGAAGTCTTTGTTACTTAATCATTCTTCTTCTATGTGCACTTTCTCTTCAGGAGGTTGGCGTTCATGGCTCTCCACAACTTTCTGTTCTGTGTAATTCATAATAGCTTTTGTGTTGTGGACATCACTCCTAATCTCCTAATCATCTATTTACTCAAGGTCACTATGTATGATATGAGTTGTTTTTAACTGTCCGTCTTGCGTTCAATCTGTCCTGTGGGTATCAATTTTCCCAAGTCTTCTTCCCTCATTATGTGTCTCATAAATTTCAACTGTCTCTTCCTAATGTTAAGTATAAGTCTTCTTTTTGTTTCTAGTGTTTCTAAAATTTCATGTTCGGTCCATGGTATCCTCAGCATCATTCTGTCGTACCACATTTCTGTTGCTTCAAGTCTCTTCTTCATGTGAGAAGATTGTCCAGCATTGTTTGCAATATAGGAGGACCGATATTACGTAACTGTTCAATACTCTTTTCTTTGTTTCTAACGAAATGTTTATCTTAGCCGAGCAATAACAACCGTAACGAAACGATCATTTTATAACACTCGTGTTATGAAATTTTTTATCTAGTCTAGTCTGGTACAAAGCTAATATTTTTGTTATATCTCCTAAACCTTATTCCGTCATCCATTTACTCATTACGTAGGTTATGCGTTGTTTTCCCTTTTTCTGTCAATCTGTCTTGTGAGTATCAAATTTTCCAAGCTCTCCCCAGAAATTTCAACTGTCTCTTCATGATGTTAAGTACAAGTTTCAGTTGTCTCCAGAATTTCGTCATTGCTCACATGTTCGGTCAATGGTATTCCCAGCATCCTCCGGTAGTACTCTATTTATGCTGCTTGAAGTCTCTTCTTCATCTGTAAGCATTCTGTGTCATCTGTAAGCATTCTAGGAGGACATAATTGTTCAGTACACATTTCTTTGTTTCTAAACGAAATCATTACGACACTATAATTATCTATTTCAATTAAGAAAGTCATTGGCGAGAAGAGAAAGAAAAATCATTTCAAACTTAATTACAACGCAGCATGACCAACACGAAAATTCCGCGTGCGTCATTGCTTCCAAGCAAATACATGATTATATTTTCGCACCCTCAAGGTGATTTTTTCTTAGCTGTTCTTGCTTAAAGGCATATCAACCTCTATGGATTATTTAATACCGAAATCTAAATATTTTCTACGTAATCTCTTTTTCTAGATAATGGCGGTTTTAGTGATACGCGTCTTACTAATTCTGAGGGAGAAGAGGCGGATTCATACCTTACCAAAGAGTATTTGTTCGTAAGTGAATATAACGATCTCAACTGAAATTAGAACTCGACTCTCAGATTAACAATTCCGAGCCATTATCCATTACAGCACCCGCATACACGTATGGTATTCCCAAGCGGTCACCTATTTAGATACTGATCAGACTCCAGGGTACTTAACTTCTTTGAATGTACGAAAACCGGCGTTTCAACTTGATGGGGTCGTAAGCCCCTCACGGTGAATTTTCCATAACATTAAACCGTTAAAAAGTAGGTGGCTAAATCCATTGGCCAGAGAGAAGGTCCTGAAATGAAAAATAATTCCAATGGACCTCAACAAGGACGTTTTAGAGATAATGGAAACAGAAAGGACACTTATACGTAACATCAGGAAGATACTGATGACATTTATAGGGCTCATAATGAGGAAAGAGGGCGTGAAAAATTTGATACTCACAGGACAGATCGAAGGTAAGTGGGACAGAGGAAAACAATGCATAACCTACCTGATGAGGTTGAGTGAATGGATGGTGAAGTAGGGTTTGAAAGAGATGTCAGAAACACAAAAATTATTCATATCTACAAAGTTCAGGAAATTGTGGAGAGACATGATCGCCAATATCTTGAATGAACACGGCACTTAGAAGAAGAACTTATGGGCAACTCTCACTGTCTGTCTGTCTGTCTCTTTCTCTCTTTATATATATATATATATATATGTAAAAAATGAAAAGAATATAAATTCAGACGTCCATAACATTGATTTAAAAGGGGCTCAATACAAGAAGTAGAACAATAAATATTTATTATAAACTGTTACATTGGAACATGCAAGTTACCGCGACAAAAATGCATATTTGTTTCGACGTCCAAATATGCATTTTTGTAGTGGTAATTTGTGTTCAATGGAACAGTTTATATATATATATATATATATATATATATATATAAAAAGAAAGAACAGTAAGATATATAATCCAGTGTTCTTATAGATATTTTATTTTTACAAAATAGTGCTCAATGTAAATTTACAGAGCATTAATATTATAATGTCTTTAATTTAATTACAAAATTAAATTCGGGGCTTTTAGCTTCCATTTTTGAAACATGGTTAGAACTGTGTAGCGGAAAAAACATATTTTAAATCAGTTAATTTATAATATATATATATATATATATATATATATATATATATATATATATTTTTATTTAAGCCTCAAATACTCTTTTTAGGAATGTCTGATTGAATAAATTACAAACATTATGTCTGCTTATTTTTATCATAATCCTTTTATATTCGCGAATATATATACAGAAAATATTCGTGGATATGCAAGGATTATAATAAAAAATAAGCAGACGTAATGTCTGTAATTTATTCAATCAAATATATTTTTGTGTATTTGTGCTTGTGTGTGTGTGTGTGTGTGTGTGAAATGTGTTTTAGTGAAATGGAAACAAAAAAGATACTTTTACTTAACGTCAGAAAGAGACAGTTGAAATTTCTAGGGCCAGAAAGAGGACTTAGAAAACTTAACTCTCACAAGGCATATTGAAGGCGGGAGAAATAGAGGAAACAGCGCATAAAGTACCTAATGAGCTTGTGTAAATGATTGTCTGAATAGGGTTTAGGAGAGATAGCGGAAAGACAAAATTTACTAAGAGCAACAAAGAACAAGAAGTTGTAGAGAGCCATGATCGCCGACTTCCTGAAGGGATATGGAACATGCTAAAAGAAGAGATATCACATGAATTAACAAAGTTAACAATGCGTTAAATACATCAATTTCTAAACACGGACTAGAAAAGGCCCAAATTTTCTCCCATAGACTTTAACATAATCCTTCAAACCAGAATACTTATTCTTTTATCTCTTCAGAACGTTGGCAATCACGGCACTCCACAACTTTCTCTTCCTTTCCCCCATAACTCTATACCAGTGTTGTTCCCGTATTGTACCTCCATGTTCTGTCATCTATCTATATAAGTTCGTTAAGTTGGTTACTCTTTGTTTTTTTTTTTTTTAGTTTTTTGTTCTGACACGCTTGCCTTTAATATGTCCTGTGAGTGTTAAATTTTCTAAGCTCTCTTTCCTTATACGTACCCCAAAAATTTTAACAGTTCTTTTCTGAATCTTGTTTCCATTTTCCTTAAAACTTTCTCATTGCCCACATGCAACGTCTATGGTATTCACAGCATCTTTCTGTTGAGCCACAACTCTGTTGCCTCAGAGGAAATTTCCAGTATCCAATGTCATATGGAAAAATTAAGATTGTATGACAGTTGAACAGTCTTATCTTTGCTGCCAGATCGTTAAATTTCTGCTGTGGTTTGATTTTGGCGTCTCCAATTTGTAGCTTACACTTTGCTCTCTCTCTCTCTTTTCTCTCTCTCTCTCTCTCTATCTATCTATCTCTATCTCTATCTCTATCTATCTATCTATCTATCTTGTGAAGCTGATTTGACTCTCTCGCGTACACACACTATCTCGCTTGCTTTCGTTGTTTATAGCAGTACTTGGAAGGAAAGTGTGTAGAGTGTGGTCGTCTTACCACACCACAAAGGTTCCATCAGTGTCTTAAATAATAATTAAACAGACTATTATTTTTTTTTTTCGAAAAGTGTATTTTGCTCTAACGTCTTCAGTTTGACCTTTGAGGTCAGATACAAAGACAAAACAAAAGAAGTCGATTTTGATTGGCTGAACGAGATGGGAGTGATAAATAGAAAAAGATTTTTCGGGGAGTAGAGACTAAACCGTCATACAATGTAGACGTGTTCCTTTCGTGACTGCAGTGTCTCCCAATGGAGGGGAAGAGCGACGCCACTGTATATTCAAAAATGTACACGTGTTTAATAAACTAGTTAATATTAAAATTCCCTTTGTTGATGCCTCTTTATCGCCGAACCAAAAACACCTAACATCGCCGGGCGTGAAAGAAGGCAACGTTATTATTATGGAATTGTATCCGCCCCCCACCCAACCCAAGAGAACCCAGAGCGAGGTGGGTGGTGGGGGGAGGGCTATTTCAACACGTGAAGATGGTTTGGATAGCAGATCTTGGCCAAGCACAACAATCCCCAGCTCCGACAACCACCATATTCCCAAATATGCGCCTTGCGACTTTACCTCTTCCCAAAAATCAAATCCCACAAGATTTCAAGACGTCGAGAAAATCAAAGAAAATGCGACCGGGCAGCTATCCCAAAAAATGAGTTCCAGGAATGCTTCGAATCAATTGAAACGACCCTGAATAAAGTGTTTGGCTTCAGAATGGAATTACCTCGAAGGACATTAAATGCCGAATTGATATAGATGTCTCATGGATAAAAGCAAGGTTTGATTTGCCTATTTCTCGTTTCCACGAATCTAAATCTGCTAGCTTCAGTTTCGTAACCGAAACGGAAAACAAGAGTTATTTTCTGAATGCTTTTTTTTAAATCCTAAATTATTTCTTATTACTAAAAACGTTATTTTTTTTAATGGGTAAATCAAACCTCCCTCTATCGATGTGGCTTCCGTGGCCATATTGATGCAAGTACATTTCGGCTATAGATTTCCCTGACGTAAAAGGGAATACAGATTCGATTCGGTAGCATAATCTTTCTTTAATTGGATTTCTCACTGTAGGACAGCTATTATTAATTTCAATGTTTAAGAGAAAAACAGGGGAAAATGTGTACCCAGTAAAAAAAAAAATAACGCTTATTGCAATAAGAAATCATTTTGGATATAAAAATCTATTCAAGAATACTTATATGAGAATTTTTACAATTAATTTTTATTGATCCTACAGATTGATATCGGTTTAAACGTTATTTTTATCGAACAGAATATTTATTCATTTTCATCTACCGGCCTGAATATTCGAGAAATCTTATTAAAGAAGAATTTGCGCCATTCGGGACGCAGGTTCGATTCCTACCGAAGGGCGCAATTTTTTTTATTTTTTTTTTGAATATTCAGGCTGGTAGGTGAAACTAAATAAATATACAGTTTAATAAATAAACGGAGCGCCTACTTAAATACAGTATCCACGAATAATAACGTTTAAATTGATATATATATATATATATATATATATATATATATATATATATATATATATATATATATATGAGTTTCTTTTCCATGAGTCCTTTATAATATTATAGTCTTATCTATTAAAATCTCTCATATGTTAATATCAGATTTTTTTTTGTGATGTGCTGCTCGATATGTGCCCAAATTGCACTAAATTTTTACAAGTTCTCAACCTCGTAGAGCATTTTTCATTGTTGGAAGTGTTACCTGATGATCCGAAATCCTTTAAAAGGATTTTGGTGAAATAAATTATTGTAATGGTACCTTAAAGTGTCTGTTTTTCATTAAATATTTATATATATATATATATATATATATATATATATATATATATATATATATATATTTATTTATTAAAAAAAATTATAACATAAATATGTTATAAAATCACTACAAAAATAGCCATTTTGTTTCAACACCCTCAGTGTCTTATCAAGTGATGATGTTGAAGATAAAATAAATGGTTTTAAAAGTTTCAAATTAATTAACGATCCTACACTAGGGGGAAACATTGTTACAAAAGCTAGAATAACCAATCAAAATCCAAGTATAGGAAGATTCAAAAGCTTGACAACGAAATCATGTTATAATAGCTATTCAGAACTTTAAAATACGGGTAATATTAAAAAGAATTTATACTAACCAATAATTATAAAATTATATGATAAAATTTAATATTAAAATTAAAAACTGCCAATTTTAAAATCCAAATTTAATCAATATTAAGTTTAAAAACTATAAAATTATTGAGAAAAGAAAAAATACATATGTTATTCAATTTATTTCTTCGTTGAAATTACGTTCGACAAGACGCTACAATATATCCGGTCATTTGACAATACATGTATATATATTTTTTATTCTAAAGTGTGTGAATGTGGTCTTAAACTCACGCGCAAAACAACAAAAACACAATCAGATTATAATACATAAGCACCCAGACATATTTAGATATATATATACACACAAAAAAGCGACGAGACAGGAACATCTCCACACCCTTTATGAAAAAAGGAAACGGGGGAACCAACACCTATACACACACACAGTTAAATGTGAATGCACTCTACATACACATAGACACCGATAAATACATGTACACACATCCACAGACAATGACCCAGACAATCAGATAACACAACCAATAAATATTTAAGACTTAAAGTATCATTAAATAAATGCTAACCACTTATTAAAATATAACTTAAGCGAGCATATATATATATATATATATATATATATATATATATATATATATATATATATATATATAGGTGTGTACAGAATTATTCGCCCCTACTAAATATTTACTTAATTTGCTAAGGAAATGCAAATATTTGCATGTACTTACTGAATTTAAATAAGTAGTTGATTTCATATTTAGTTTTGAATAATTCATGAAATTTTTAGACGTTTAGATCTATTATATTCATAGCTATAAATTTTTTCGAAAAATTGGTGCAAAGTTATTATGGAAATTATGAAATAATATTGCTTTATGGCAATTTCTTTTTCTTTATCTGATATTTAATACAAAGACATTTTGAAAATGAAATATTATTGACGTCGTGAAGAAGACAATATGTGAGTGTCATGTAGCGCGATGACTCATTCGTTTTTTAATCATGGCGAAAACGGCTGAACTTGACATGAACCTCTTAATAAAGATAGTTAATGCATACAAACAAGGTGATAGATATACAGCACTTTCTAAGCGTTTAAATCTTCCTAGATCGACAATTCGTAGCATTATCAAGAAGTAAAACGAGACTCATTGTGTTGAGAATAAATTAAGGACTGGCAGAAAACGGTTAGTTGCTGAGAAAATGGAAAGAAAAGGTGTTAGAAATGTCTATAAGAATCATCATTTAACGAGAAAGGACATTGTCAATGAGGTTTAAGACATCAGGATTGAATATATCGACGAAGACAGTCACTAGATGCTTTCATCGAGCAGGACTTCGAACTTGTCACCCAAGAAAACTACCTTGCTAAGGCTAAACACTTAAAATATACATGCTAGAAGCCATCTAGAACATGGGAGTAAATATTGGAATCTGTTTTATGGTCAGATGAAATCAAAGTAAAATTATTTGAACACATGAACTGCCATTATGCATGGAGAAAAGTGAATAAAGCTCACAAACTAAAAAATACCCTCCCTACAATTAAACACTGGGGTGAGAGCAATCTGTTCTGAAGACGTTTTGCTGCTTCTGTACCAGGAGAACTAGTGAGAGTACAAGATATCATGGATAAAGAACAGTATTTGGTTATTCTTAAAAATAATATAAAACAAATAGCACGAAAGCTGTCTTTGGGGGGTCACTGGATGTTCCAACATGACAATGGCCTGAAAAACACGGCACGAATTGATACTTAAATCATACTTAGATGACAGAAAAATTATTGGCGTACTCTGCACAAAATCCTGACCTAAACCTCATTGAAAAATTATGAGCGTATTTAAAGAAAAAAGTAAGAGGAAGAGGTCTTTCGAATTTGGAGGACCTAGAAACTATGAAGAAGGAAGAATGAAGCAAACTACCTATCAGTGTGTGTAAGGAACTATAAAAACGATTAAAGGCATTAATCATGAATAAGGGTTACAAAATTGATTTTTGAGGCAAGAGGACCAATAATTCTGTCCTATGATAAATGATTTTTGGTGTTCTTTGTATTATTTGACATTAAAATAAAATGTTGTCGGTATCATTGCACATTTATTCGAATTCCAGTAGAATCCATTTTATTCACTTACGTTCTAATAAATACCCTTGGGAAAGGTATGAATCCTCTTCTTCTGCCCCCCCCCCAATCTATGGGTAAATAGCAGAAAAGACTGGGTTCTTTAGCCTTGGATGTCAACTGGTCTACCGCAGAAAGAAATGGCAACCTACTGCGGGGAAAAAATCTGCCTCGTCAGTCATGTATCGAAATATATATGATCGCCTACGCACGTTTCACGCATGGCACATAACTGACTGATTTCAACATTTGTGAAAAAATGAACAGAAGTTTCTATGAAAATTTGAGGCTTTATTAGTAATTATGGAAGAGGGTGAATAATTCTGTCCAAACTCTCTCTCTCTCTCTCTCTCTCTCTCTCTCTCTCTCTATATATATATATATATATATATATATATATATATATATATATATATATATATATATAGTGAGAGAGAGATATAGTGTTGTTTAACATTAGGTATATTTATAGGGAAAGAGTGTTCGATATTAAGAGATAAAGTTTTGAAAGATAGATGCGGTTTGCACATACAAATCAACACTGTACGGTGACTTTCATTTTCATGCCTCAGAGTGATCTTGAAACCTCATCTGAAGATCGGATTGAAGCGTAAAATATATGCACCCAAATACACCCAGTAT